ACATTATTTAAGCTGAACAATTAATTTGCATTATGGCATCAAAAAACTTCTCGGGGGGGGGGGGTCAAATGCCCCTGTTGCCTCCCTCCACGGGTATACCACTATATAAATATATTAATTGTTCAATGTTTATTAATTGAATATAATTTATATTCGCAAAAAATATAAATTCTATTAGAAAAATGTCCTACATTTATTATTTATTAAGAAAATAATAATTTTTTATCATTAGGTACCTATTTATTTACTAATTGGAACATTTGAGAACAAATTGGGGGAGGGTCGAGCCCTCCCTCTTGCATACGCCACTGCCACTTACTCAAATTATTTTATATGTGACTTAGCTGTAAAATATACTTGTTATGATTAGGGTTCGGGAATTGTTCTATTTGCGTATTAAAAACTGTAGAATATTCTAAGTAAGATATAAATTAGATTATTATTAAAATAAAATTGTAAATAAAACAAAATAAGATATAAATTTGATTTATATATTTTACCGTTTTTAGGCAACATTTAATAAATCGAATTAAAAAAAAATCTAACTAACAATTTTTTTCTTATATTTTAATTGCTATTATAAAAATAATCATTTATATATTTTTGTGTATATTTCGGTTATTTTAAGTGCATATCTGTAATATTTCCTATAATTTGGGTACGTTAAGTTCCGAATCCTAAAAATTAGTTTATAACTATTGAGTCTGTACGACTAATGTATAGTTTTGTATTTTTGGTTCTTTAATCAAGATACTTACATCATTGAAATGTTGTGCACGATAACCTTTGATTCTTCATAATTTTCCAATATGTCTTAATTATAATATTAATATCATATTTACATACTTATACATAGTTATGCTTTCAAAAAATAAAGATGTTTTTTCGGTGAAAACCATTTGCGCCCATCACACCTTTTTCATAACCCATTTGCGCCCAAAATATTTTTAATAAAAATGTGTTAAACCCGTGCAACGTTGCCAAATTATATCCTGGAATACAAGCCATACTATTTATTAACCTTATAAAGTTAAAACTACTGTACATACTGATGGGCATAATCGAGTGAAAATAATCGAGTTACTCCCTATTGTCATATTGACTAATTTTTTTAAACCCAAAATGTTGAAAAAATTATAAAATTTAAACTATATTATTTAGACAATTATTATTAAAGTACTATAATATACATAATATAAATATATATATATATATATATAGTATATTATACTAATCTATTTAATTTAAGTATTTATTAAGATAAAAACAATCTATATTATAAATTACAATGGAAACGTTGTATGTGAAACGGGCGCATATGGGCTATAAATCGGTAGGTAGTACTTTATCTCCGGGCGCATATGTCTACATCCCTGGGTGCGCAAATAGGCTACAGCAGTTTTTTTAATATATCCATAAAATAAAAAAGGTAAAGAATACCTTTTTTTTCCCAAAAAATTGGCTATACACCCGCTAATTAGAAATGCCATTAAGCAGTGCTTCAGGTGATAAGGTAAAGTATACTTAATTAAAACATGCACATTATTTTGTATACTAAAAAATGTATGTGCAAATAAATTGCAAAGTAGATTTCACTTTAATTATTTCCCTTAAATTTTCATACTATTTAAATTTCATTTTTTAAAATAACACGCGTCGCAGTTGTAGCGTTAAATATGGCGATCTATGCGTATATGTACAAGTGTTTTGAAAAGCACGAAAACTCGACTGGTTAATCGTAAAAACCATTATTTTTCATATATTCTAGTCTGATTTTATGGGTATATTAATTTTATCAATCAGATATGGCTATATGAAAAACAGTAGTTATAAGATAGAAGAATATAAATAGCGAGTTAGAAATATACCGATATTTTATACTTTGTTCTGTATTATACTTGCAGTTAAATTATATTAAATTATTGGTAAAATATTGTATAGTTATTATTATAACAGTCATTTATTTCTATTCGGTATTCAAATTGCCCGGACAAAGCACATTGCCCGGTATTTCATATTGCCCGTAACCAGTGGTTAAAGTGGGAAAAATGTTGTTGGGGGATTATATTCATCAAAAATTGAGGAGCATTCCCCTACCTAATTCTAAATCTTACCAACATTTTTTAGGAACTCCATGAGGTCTAAACCTCTTCTGTTACACATATATGTTCATAAAAACTTTATTTTCATAGGGTGTAAAAACAAATTTCCTCCAGAGAAAAATAATTCTATACGTATGCCTGCTCAGTAAAAATAAATTGAAATACATAGTAGGTAATGTTTAAAAAACTTAACTTAGACTTAACAAAACTAAAAAGAAGCAATTACTAATCTGGCTAGTAGTTGGTCAAGGTAGACAGTAAAGCCAGGTTCACACTATTGCAATTTCTTGCATTATAGACTTGCTTACAATATATATCATGCAAGAATAAGCATAGTTATACGCAAGTGCATGTTCACATATATGAATATATTATTAGTCTTGTATGTATTTAAATATAGTTTAGTTTCAAAAGCAGTGGCGCACACAGGATTTTTTTTCGGGGAGGTTCAAAGTAAAAATATAACACATTTTACAATTAACAAAATTATGTAAATCCTTAATATATTTTGACTTAAATAATAGCATTGATAATAGAATAGACTATTCTATAATCAATGATACTAGGTATTCAATACTAGCTCTTCATATTTCAAACTTATAAAATTTGTAAATTTTAACCTAGATATCGGAGAAAATGTCGGGGGAGGGGGTTACACCCCTTAAACCCTCCCTGTTCAAAAGTGATCTGATCGCGAGTAGAAATACTGTTTTTTTTTAAATTTTTAACGAGAATATTAAATGGATCCAACAAAAAAGGTCTAATTATTGTTTGCGATATGCTTAGTAAAAAAATCTTAAAAAAGAAGCAAGAAGCTTATAAAATATAATAAAATAATTTATATTAATAATTGTATTAATATTATTATTCTTATTAAAAAAAACGTTAAAAGTTCATAAAACACAATAACATTGACCACGCAGTTAACTATTCGTGTTCGAGAATAAACTGGCATACAATTACCTAATTGCATACAAATTCTGTCCGACATGTTGGACTGCATGCAAGTTTGAGCATGCAAGGACTTGCATGCGTCTTATCAGCGTTCACATTTGTTCAATTTAATTCTTGTACGAGTAAAAATAAGCATGCGGAAAAAAGCATACAAAAAATTGCAATAATGTGAACCCAGTATAACAAATACGTACATTGCACATAAGGTGTGTACTATGTATATAAGGTAGTGTCTATCCTCTATCACAATTTAATATTTATATTTATACTTTTTATAATTATTCTATTCTGCTTATATTTATTCTAAATAAAAGTCGATATCACTATCACTTTAATTTTAGAGCTATGGGTAATAACCACTCAGAGATCATCTATAATTAGACACAGCGTCAATTAAATTAAACCATGATGTATATTATCTACCATATTTGCTTATCGTTATACTTACATAATATTTCTTCCACATTTTTTCAACATGTTAATCAAGAAAATAAATTTCATGTAATATTGTAATATATGTAAGTATTGTATATTCAATATTGTATTTTTGTGACCAATGCTATTAAGCGTCCACCCGGACTTTTGGCGACTTAAATTAAAGAGGACGCATAATCTTACCTTAAATAAGAAGGGGGACTCCGTCCTCCTCCGCCTAACCCACTTTAACCACTGCCCGTAACATATATACTCTTACTACTCTTTCCAGCGGTTGTCCGTTTTCAGCAATTAGCTCAGATGCGAACTGTATTGAATATTTGAATCTGAGTAAAATTTGTAGTATCGATAATAAAATTACAAGACTTATTGCTTTTAATCTGATTTTTTTAATTCTGGTGAGTTATTATAAAATAAAATAAATAATGAATAAAATACAGGTATATAATACAAAACTGTTCAATGATTATTAAAGTAAAATAATTCATAAACTCATCCAGGTAAAATTTGTGTCAAATCATTATAATAAAGTTAGTAAATACAATAATTGTATTTTCTTGATTATAAATATTACATTTTGTACCTTTTTATTTTGTACTTTGTACATTTTTAATTTAAATTGTATTAATTATTATTTTTTAACAATAATAATCACTTTTGTACTACGATTATATGTGATAAATGTATATCCATCTAATAAATTATGAATCGATTTATACCCAGGCCCTATTTTTATGTACACCCCGACACACAATGTGCACCACAAATGTACAAGTGTGCACTACGGTTTTAACGTGTGTGCACTACGGTCTACAAAACAAAATTTAAATAATAAGCCAACTACTAGGAAATATGAGTATTATTGATTTTTTTTAAATTTAATGCATATATATATATATATTATGTATGTAATATATTCCTTTTTCTAAGACAGTAGCAAAACTAAATTTTCATTTAATGCAGTAAAATCAAGTGTGCAGTCCGAAACTGTACAAATAATATGGCCTGTTTATACCAAAAAATATATTTGTCATTAAAAAATATTACTCTATAACAGTGTTTCCCAACCTATGGGTCACAATATATTGTTTATGGGTCGCGACTGTCGACCAGTAGCATCAGGCAGTACTATTTATAATTATTTATAATACTATATTATCACATGTTTTAATTTTTTTTTTTTTTGGGGGATGGTGAGTCACGTTATCAACAAGTAGTAAATTTGTGGATCGCCATAACAAAAAGGTTGGGAAACACTGCTCTATGGTACGTGTATACAAATGTTCGGCGTAATCGATGGAATCATTTGTTGCCGCAATCCATATTATAAAATTACTGTAAATTAACATATAAATTTAATTTACATGTTTTTATTTCACAGCACACCACGTTGGTACAATTATTTAATTTAAGTTATCTATGTCGAATGTTACTCGCCTTTTTCTATAATTTATTGAATATTTTAATTTTTACCAAATTGCATTTCATACAATTTTCTTGCTCAAAATGTTGTATGGATAAAAAAAATATATTATTTATCTTTAATGTCCATAGTATATTTAAATAGTATTACAATGTATTCGTTTTCTTTATAACAGTAAAGTATAAAAAGTCGTAATGCAGAAGCCAATCTAAATTGAAACGAACCACGAGTGTCCCATACATACCCAACTACGACTACTAACTACAGGTACATTGATTTTATTTTGAACGAACAATGTAAATTATTATGTTATATTATTAATTAAATAAATAAATTATGTTTCTAGAACTTCTAAATTTATTTTTTAATCAATACATTTGTATAACTAGCAATAATTATATATTCTCGGTTTTCTAAATAATATGAAGCAATAACTATTTTTTCTTTATGCTAATTTTATTATTTTTTATTTTTTTGTATTTATTTATTTATTATATTTTTTTGGTTTCACCTACATTTTCACCCGATGTCTGAGGCTATCTTAACATTTATTCTTTTTAGCAATTAAAACGTTTATTTTTTAATATTAAATTATTTATATTTCTTTGATTCCAAATTTTTTAGATAAAGTTTTATTTTAAACATTACATTTCTAAGTCAGCAATTACACATTCTCGGTGACATCAATATTATTTTAAATTAACTTAAACCAATAACTGTCTTTTATTCATTTTTATTTTTATTTTTAATAATTAATATTTTAAATTTAAATTTAAATTATACTTATGTTTTTTGTTGGTAACCGTAATAATTACCGATGTGATGGGGGCATATTAAAAATATGTCAGATCATTAATATCTAAGTCTTCTGGTAAATTTTTTTTTTCAATTAATTTACCATTAAGAATGTTTTTAATTTTCTTTAGCATAACAAGACCGACATTTTTCTTCCGTGCATTTTCCATTTTTGTACAAATATTTTTCCTAGTTGTCCCAGTAAGACGTTTCATTGCTACACTGAAATTATCAATAATCAGTTAAAGAAACACCTTCGGTTTGTAATTTTGTAATTGATACCTATAAAAAGAAAATTAAAATTTGATTTTATGTAGACTAAATTATTTTTAAGGTGAGATTATGCCAAATATTTTTAAACTCAGGATTTAAAAATAAAAATCCATTATTTATTTTTTACAGAAATTACGGAGACTACGGATGACGGATGACACACAGTTATTGGTGTACACTTATACTATTACTATTACTTGTGTGTACAAGAAATTGTGACCGATTCTGTACGATGTAAATTGTTTGTATAATTCTATTGGTAGACGAAAAGTTTAGGATTTTTAAATTATCAATAAAAAATAATTGAATAGTTTTTTTTTTGTCACGTATGAACAAAACTGTTTAGTGATTTTTTGGGATCTGTGCCCCTTTTGGATCCGTCCCTGCTGTTACAATGCCATGTATAAATAAATTATTGACCTTGTAAGGTACATAATAAATCAAAAATGTAGGTACTGTATTTATTATAAATTCTACCTATATGAATTTAAATAGTAGATAAAGATAATCATTATTTTTATTTTATGATAAGATTATCAATGATTGTACTGATTTATCTTTTCTGTGCTGATAACCCTCCATAAAATAAAGTGATAAAATGTAAGCGGTGCATTGATAAATTACTAAACTGTGAACTAACAATATTAATTAAATTCTCATTAATAAATTGAGTATTTTAATATGCAACTAAACGTTAATTACTGATTGTACTTTATTTGTATTCTAGTGACGAGTTTTTTTGTTGTTGTTTACACAAGTGTGAAGAGCCTCATAAATGTTAAGTGATATTATTACCAAACATAATTGATAGGTACCTAATTATAGTTATTTTTTATTTAAAAAAAAAAACTGTTGAACTATTATCGCAAACAAGATGGTTTAATGAGCACGTGCGGGCATAAAAATGAACTTCAAGCAAAGATTTATTTTATTACTTCTATTTGTAGTGCTAATAATATGCTTTCTGTTGTATTCTCTGTTAGAAAACCAAAATGTTCACAGTGTAAGTTTCGAATTATGTAATTAATAATTTTTGGTTATTGTATTGTGCTTATTTTGATTAATTTTTAGGCTTATGAAACAGTTAAAACATCAATTTCTCGTGTGGAAAAACTACAATTCCAAACAAGGGATGAAAATTTTGAGTCTTTTGTACAAAACATAGATAATGTTCTTAGAAAAAACGTGCCTGAAACATCTAGTTCACTCGTGGTACATTTTAATAATTATTTATTTATATTAATATATGAAAAACATCTAATACATTGAGTATTATTGTTGATCATTGCATATAATTATTGTCAAATAATAATTATTGTACTTCTCTACAAACTCTTAAGAATTAAATTTAAAAAATTATCTTGAAATGATTTAAACATTTTTATTTCAGCCTGTCTTGCAAAATAACTTAGAAGATACATTTTTGTCCAGTGGAATTTGTGATCCAAATATTAATGTAAGTATATTTTAATATGTTAATAAACTAATACAGTTAATATTAATCATATTTACATCATGGTATATAATTGTGTTTCACAAACTATTAGGTGCGCCTCCCTAGGAAGGTGCAAGCACTTATTGGATGAGGCACAAGGCAGATATTTATATTGTATATTACACTATCATATATTTATTTTTAAATCAACAGTAATTTGCTTTTATTAAAATAATAAAAAAAATTGTTTTATTTATTCAAGGGTGGCACGATTAATTTAATTTTTTTTTTTTGGGGGATTCGTGAACCAAAAAATTTTAGGAACCGCTGGTGTATAATATTAATGTAGTTTACCTATGAGTTATATTAGTTGACTAGCATAAACAGCAAATAGAATATTTAGACAGTAAACAGAAAATAGGAATAACCTCTTATTAAATGATAAATAAATTGTAATTTTAAATATAGCAATATATTAAATTATGTATAAAATTACCATATTATGGAAAATAGTAATTTTGTTTATTAGTTTTAATTGTAATTACTATTATTGAGAGACTACCTGCTTATAATTTTATATGAAAATAAAAGTTAAGTATTATAGCAAGATTTTTGTAATATTTAATGTAAAGTGGTAAATTATAGTGGTTTAATTTTACGAGTTTAAATTTCCAACAAAAATATACTTATATAAAAAATGATAATTATTTTATTTTCAAATTATTATTGCTGTATATATTTCAATACTAGGAACTTATCCTATTCATTGAATTGTTATGTTTATATTATAATTCTAAATAAACAAATAATTTTTTATTGAAAACAATTATTGTTATTAATTATAATGTTTTTAATATTTAGACATGGGATTTATATGATAAACTAAAATTTGATAATATTGATGGAGGTGCATGGAAACAAGGTTGGGATATTCAAGTAACTAAAGGACGATGGAATGTTAATAATAAATTAAGGGTGTTTGTGGTGCCTCATTCTCATAATGATCCTGGATGGAAACGAACATTTGAAGAATACTATCAAAGTGATACTAAAAGTATATTAGATAATATGGTTATTAAGCTATCAGAAGATCATAGGCGCAAGTTTATTTGGGCAGAAATATCTTATTTATCACTGTGGTGGAATGATATCGACCAAAATACAAAAATTAAAGTGAAAAAGTATAAATTTTAACTAAAAATTATTTAAGTATACACTTAAAATAATAAAATGTATTTTATGTATAGATTAATTGACAACAGACAGTTGGAAATAGTCACTGGCGGTTGGGTAATGACAGATGAAGCTAACTCCCATTATTCATCAATGATAACTCAGCTTACTAATGGTCATCAATGGTTGATGAAAAATTTAAATATAACTGCCAAGTATGATTTGAAATTTCTATTGAATAATTAGAAAATAAATTATTTTATTTTAAATGTCGATGGAGTTTATTTCAATTAAGTGATTTTAAAAACTTTTCTATAATAATTGAATTCTTAAATTTTGAATAAAAAATAATCAGGTTTTTTATTGTTTTACAGTTATAGTTGGTGTATTGATCCTTTTGGTGTATCACCAACTATGCCTTATATATTGAATAAAATGCAATTTTCTAGTTTGGTCATTCAACGAACTCATTATAATATAAAAAAATATTTAGCTAAACAAAAACAATTGGAATTTCGATGGAGACAACATTGGGGTAAACAAAAATTAAATAATTTATTATCATAGCCTGTTAGCTTAATTTTATCTGTGTAAAGTTATATACATTTATTAGTTTCTTTCACATTTAGATACAGAATGCAATAGTAACAAAAACGAACTTTTCACTCATATGATGCCATTTTATAGTTATGATATACCTCATACTTGTGGGCCAGATCCAAGTATTTGTTGTCAATTTGATTTTAAAATGTTATCAATGTTTGGACTTTTTTGCCCTTGGAAAGTATCTCCCATACCAATTACTTTATCAAATGTAAAAAAAAGGTAAATTATCAAAAATAAATGAACTATTTTTTATTTTATTAAAATTAATTCAATAATACCCTTGTTATAATAATAGAGCACTATTGTTACTGGATCAATATAGAAAAAAAGCTGAACTATATAAAACAAATGTGCTACTTGTTCCTTTAGGGGATGACTTTCGGTATACATCTGCTAAAGAATGGGATTCCCAGATGAATAATTATCAAAAATTATTCGACTATTTGAACAGCAACAGTGAATCATTATTTGTAGAAGTTATTATATTATAACACATAAATAGTTTTCATGTCATTTTTATATCAATATATTATTATTTTATAATTTTTCCATTTATTAGGCATCATTTGGTACGCTAAGAGATTATTTCGAAGCAGTTGAAGAGTCTTCTAGTTTTAAAAATTTTCCATCACTAACTGGTGACTTCTTTACTTATGCAGATAAAGATGACAATTATTGGAGTGGATATTTCACTTCTAGACCTTTTTACAAATGTATGGACCGAGAACTTGTTGCTAAATTGAGGTAAGATATAAATTCTTGTTAATAAATCTGAAAATATATGAAAATCCGTTACTTAATTGAAAATAAAACATTTTTGAAATTTAAATTAATATTATTAATTATTACTTATTTTTAATAAATGTTTAGATCAGCAGAAATTCTTTATTCCTTAGTATGGCTTAGTACACCTTTGAATTTGACTACCTGGTTATGGAAACCAGATTCAGAATTGTATAATTATTTACAAGCTGCAAGAGATGCTCATAGTTTATTTCAACATCATGATGGCATAACAGGAACAGCAAAAAATGCAGTAGTTAATGACTATGCACAAAAGTACATAATATTTTTTTTTTTATGTGAATAAATTATGTTAAACTTTTATGATTTCAGGATGTTGGATTCATTAACTAATCTAAATCATATTATTCAACATTGTATTTATTTCCTGTTATATCAAGAAAAGGTTTTTTTATTTTCATAATTATACTTATCAGGACTGAATTTATATTCTTCCCAGTTCAACCAAAGAATCTAATGTAATCTAAATTAGAGAAAACCCAAAATTAAAAATAAGCTTCTCATAGCCAATTTTATTACATTAAATTTTACTATGATTTTCATCAAATGTTAAATAAGTTTAAATTTTAAGTTTTAACTAGGTTTATTTTTACTATAAAACCATTTCTGGTTTGAATATAGACTTTTTCAACTAAAAAAAATTATATTTATAACATTCATTTCTTAAAATAGATTTATTTTTAAAGATAAAAATTTAAATTTAAAAATCCTAATATTTCAATTTACTTATATCTACTTAAATTGATTCATCATTTTTTCATATTGTCCTGATACTGTAGGATTTAATTGACTTATTGATAATATCACTTTTAAAAAATGAATACTTTTTTTCTAGGAGCAATACATATTTGATGCTAGTATCAAATATTTTGAGGCAGATTGTTCAAGAGTGTACACTAATAGTGTAGCGCAATGTCGAGTAACAGCATTTGCTAATAATCAAGATTCTCAAAGTGTAATTGTGTTCAATCCTCTGACATCTATCATAAGACAAGAAATCATTACTTTAGTTGTAGCAAATGAAAATGTTAAGGTTAGTTTGGTTCAATATATCTGTGTGTATCTAAGTTTACATTTCTTAGTTCATTACAACTGTCTTAGTAATAATTATGAACAAAATGTACAGAAATTAAATAATTGAACTTACTTTTTACTTATTTTACTTTACTTACTTATTTTGGTTTTTTTTTTTTAAATTTTTGTAAGAAAAACTATCCAAATTTTTTTATACTGACATATTGGATCACAATTTGTAAAACATATATTTTTCTTGAATGTTCAACAATTTGTTGTATAAACTGTAAATATAAATTATTTTAACTATACAACAGAATAGTTCATATTATAAGTGACTTGAAACTTTCAATCTATAGTTTATTCAAATTTTCTGTTGTACAATTATGCTAAAACTTATTGTTAAAAATCTTTAAATAAATTGTTTAAGCCAATGTTACAGTTTGTTGACATATACAACAAATGTCATTTTGTCATTGATTTGTCAAATTATTCATCTGTACCTACTATAATACCCGTTTTATATTTGGAATCCTCTTTTTCTATTTTTATGTTAAATTAAATAGGTAGTTAATTCAGAGGGTGCAGATGTTTCATTTCAAATAGATGCTACTTGTAATCTTCTGGATTCACTATTACCAACTCCATGTTTCCAATTACATTTTATTGTTGAACTTGGTCCATTAGAAATAAAAAAATATATCATCATCAACATGCCTACGGATATCAGTACCAAGTAATTTGATAAGTAATTTTGTAATGTCGAATTTAGTAATTTTAAATTCATTAATATTTTTAATATAAAAAAAAAATATTAAATATTATATTTATGATGAATTAGTGAAATTATAATTAAATAATTATTAAAAAATGTTAGTTTATTTTAAAATACTATTAATACATTTATATATTTATAATTGTTTCTATTAGAAAGTATATGTCAAAAATTAGTGCCTATAACCCTAAAACTGATGCAATCTTGGATCCTAGGATAAATATTATAAGTAATGGACTTACAGAATTTTCATTAGAAAATGAAAAAATTGTGGCATCATTTGGTCGTAATGGTTTATTAAAAAACATTACTCTTAAATCTTCTGGAAAACAATATCAAGTGCTTTTGAAATTTGTGAAGTAAGGTCAACCTAAATTACTTATATCATTTTACAATATGGTTATTAAATTAACCATATTTTTTAGATATGATGCTGCCCATGGTCCAGATATGAGTGGAGCTTATTTATTTATGCCATCAGGAGAAGCTATTGATGCTCATGTCTCAGAACAGCAGCCTACAATTTATGTGATTAATGGACATGTTTTATCACAAGTTATAATTCAGTTTAGTAACGTGAAACACTCCGTGATTATTCGTCATACAAAAGGTATTTTTTTTTAAGAATCTATAAATAAAATTGTTCAAATGTATTCTTTATAATTTCATAGTTATGTACTTTAATAATAATATATTGTTATGTATAGATTGCAATGATGTTGAAATACAAAATTTAGTAGACATTAGAAAAGAAATGAATTATGAATTATCAATGAGAGTTACCACAGAAGTGAAAAATAATAATATTTTCTATACAGATTTAAATGGATTCCAAGTAATAACAATACATTTATACACTGTTTATTTTTAGTAGTGTAATTAGGTTTTATTTGAGGGGGTGGGGGGAAAGTTATAAATTTTAAAACATTTTAATATTTGAAGATTTTTGGTGGGAAGAATGGAACAAGTTTACTGCATATTTTGGTATGGTCATAGCCTCCTACCTTCCTAGTTGTACCACTCTATGCTTTCATTCAGGAGTGTGCTTTAAAATTTTTCTCGGGGGAGGGGCTCATTATTTTGATTACCATGTATTTCAAATGTATTTATTTCACAAGATAACAATTTTGATAAAAATTAATTTATAGTACTATGTAGATTGACTTTGGATTATATAAATAACCCTGGCAAGTGTTAATAATATTAAACTTAAATTGTATAATAATATTAGGCAATAATATTTTTCTAAATTCTTTAAAATTTCGAGAGGGAATTTTAACACCCAAACCTCCCCTAGTCATGCCCTTGCTTTTATTAATTTTTATTGGTTTGGTTATTAGATGACTCGGAGAAAATATTATAAAAAACTACCTATCCAAGGAAACTTTTACCCAATGTCTAGTGCAATGTATATAGAAGATGACACTACTAGAATATCATTATTATCAGTACAACCTTTGGGTGCTTCATCATTGCATAATGGTCAAATGGAGGTAATAATATCTAAATATTATTTTTATGAACATTTTACACAATTTTCCTTAGCCTTAATTTAAATTATATGTGATACAAATATATTTTTATTTTCCTATCACAATAGTCAATCTGTAAGTTAATGCATTAATAACAAGTTGGAAATATTTATAAAATTCTACAACTGTTATGTAGGTTATACAGGATCGCCGATTGAGGCAAGACGATAATCGTGGATTAGGCCAAGGAGTTATGGATAATGTACCTACTCGGACATTGTTCAGGATACTTGTTGAAGAAAACATTGGTAACTGTCAGGTAAATGCAATATTTTTCTCATTATATTAATGTTTTAAGTTTTTCAACTCATTATCAACTAAATGCAAATAACGCAGATGGATTTACCGCATTTAACGGAACTCGGGATGACATCTATGTCGACAATGCTGTATCCTCTGACAACATTATTAGAAACATCAAAATTTGATCATCTTGAAGATACATACATTACCAAAAAGTTGACAACACTGCCAAATGATGTCCACTTAGTTACAGCATCACTAATTATTCAACAATCAAAATCAGCTGTAGGTTTGATTTTTCATAAAACCCAGACAACTCAGTGCTATGGTTTCAAAAAAATTAATCAGAATGATTCAAATACAGTAAGTGATTGTTGTTTAGGAGTTAGAGGTTTTTACATAGGTACATATTTATTATGTATATAATATTTTGGTGATAACTTATAGATTGATTTAAAACCAATTATTTCATCAACAACTGAAAATATTACTGTTTACGAATCTTCACTATCTTTTGTGCACATTGGATCAAAAGTAAACGTTAATAAACCACAAATAATGGAACCAATGGAACTAAAAGGGTATGTAATAAAAAAATGAAAAATTGTACTCGTTTAAACTATATGGTTTGGAAATTTGACAAGTTCAACCAAAACAAGCTAAGACCACTATTGTGGTATCTGTTGTAAAAAAAAATCTCAAAAAATGTGATATTTTAATGTTTTATTCTTTACCTAAGCATATTTTGTGAATAATATAATTTATTATTACTAAAAGTGGTAAAAGGATTTAATACATTTTATTTTTTATTTATTATTGTTTTGCTTTTGAAAAACACAAAAACAATTCTTAAAATGTTTGTTTATGATAAATAAATGAATAATATTTGTAATATTTTGTTCATTATTAAACACTAATTTTGCTTTCATTTTCAATAATATTGTGAACCGCTTACACATTACAGATGTAACTGTGTTTAAACAATGAGTAATTCACATAATTGGATTGTATTATAGTAGATTTACAATATGGTGTGTAGGTATGATATGTTACTATGCAAGATAAAATAGATAACAAAATTGTGTTCACAAACTAAAATAAATTGTTATTTATTAATAAACTAATACCATTTTATCTTCTTTGTTTAAAAATAGTTTTAAAAGAAAACTTGAAATGTATATTTATTTTTGAACCATATTACAATGATTATTAATTATAAATTATAATAAAATTATAATATATCATTAGTTTCTGTTGTAGTATAATATTTTTATTTTTAGTGAATATAGCTATTTATTTATAAATATATATAAAAAAAAAAATGTTGCACACATTTCTACAAAATAAATTACATGAAGGTATGTTAAATACTTATACTTTTATGTATATATTTATATAATGATGTTCTAATATTATTATTTATTAGGGTGCTAGATAAAATAATTAAAATCTAAATATTACATGGGATGCACTTCAGAATCCAGTCTAATCCAAATTGCAAGATTTATTAAAATTTTAATTATTAAAACATTAATTTTATTATTTATTAAAGAAATAATACATTATTGTTTTCTGACAATGATATTATTCACTTTGATATTTGAAATTTTTCTTGTATCACCTGCTACTATATTTAATTTCAATTTTTGTTAGTGGTTTCACTTACTTTTAAATTGTAAACAAAAAAACAAAAACTAAAAATAATGTGACTAGACCATAACTTCTGAAATACACAGTTGTAAAATAGAAGTATTACATATGAATATATTTCCAATGAAAAACTATATTTTTGCATGTTCAATAATAAAGCAATGAAGTATACAATGTTTATTTAATAATATTCTTCAAATGTTTTTTAATTTTCATATCAATACAAATTTTTGGGATATAGTAAAAGTATATTACTAAATATAAATTATAAAGTATACATAAATTTAAAAAATATATATATATGTAAATATATATTATAAATAAACATAAAATAAAAATACGAGTATAAAATTGTAAATGTAATTTTAACACAAAAATAGTTTCATAAAACATATATTATTATAATAAATACCAAACAGTCTCCATAAATGCGTAAAAAAATTGTATAAAAGTTAATAAATATTATGTTAATGAGTATTATATTTCTTTGGAAGACTAGTAACCAATGCTATAAATTATTTTTTGGATTCTAGGGCAATGACATTTATTTTGTTAAATATTTTAAGTACTATATTTAATATATAAAAAATATTTTTTTGGATCATTGTACACATAAATTGTTTTTGTATTATTATTTTATAAATAAATACTATTCTTAATATTTTTTCATTATTTTAAGTATTGCACTTTTAATATTTTCATAACATTAAATAGATAAAAAAAAAAGAAAGTAACTATTTTATTAAAATTCAGATACCTCTTTTCTGTTATCCATGTGAAATAAAAATGCTGTATTATATTTTTTACAAATTACTCGTATTAAGCTCAATACAACAGGAAAAATATTAAAATAATTTTTTTTTATATATTTTTTTTTATTAACAGTCATGTTATTTGATATTATTTTTAGACTACTACATAGTATGAATAATGACTAATGACTATTGTATCCTGTACAAAAAATTTAAAAAGTATTATAAACAAAATGTGTATACATGTTTATAAATATAATTGTATACAATTTTTTTCAAGCAAGATTATACAAATATTGAGCAATATAAATTTGTACAACAAAATTCAATTTGATCAAATTTTGTTTGTATAAATTTGTAATACCTTGTTTGTAAAACAATTTTAAAAATATCTAATGGATTCATTGTATTTAAATATTTGGTTAAATTATTTAGATCCAGTCAAAAATATTGTTTTTAGTAAATATTTTATTTAAATATTGATATCATTATGAATTGTAGGGATATATTCTGAAATTCATTAGTCATACATATGAGTACTTACGATCTTTCACTGTATATTATATATATAAAAATTTTTCATAATGGAATAAATAGTTTATTTAATTTAAAAAAAAAACGAACTCGTAGATTATGTATTTAATACTATTTGATTAAACGTTTAATTTATTATAATTATAAATAAAAAAAAAATTTTTACTATTCAATTTAATCACACCTACTGTTTTTTTATTTTAGTTTGTTTGCCCTATTTTAGTGCACAAGTATACGAGGAAATGAAAATAATATATTACTCATTAGTATTCCCATTTTGTAGCATTGTTATAATCTCCATCACCAAGTCTAAACATCCCATTTTTACCAGCAGTAAGATAGTAACCGGAAACACTTTTAATGCATATCCTCGTTGGTTCTCTTAACTCGATGAAAAATCCTTCAGGTACATCGGATTCTACAGAAACCCCTTCATCATTTGCATGCCAATATTTGTTAGTTTGACCTGAAATGATAATATAAGCGTTTAACAATTACTTTTTTTTTATATCCGTTGCGAAAATACCTTTGAAAAACACAATTCCACGATCAGATCGTTCCACTTGGATTGTTTCATAGGATGCCTTATTACATTCAAGACGTAAGCTTGACGACGATTTGTAACCGACGAATCCTTGATCTGATTTCAATACCAATATAGGCCTGAAACAAGTATAAACACAAATATGTCATTCGTAATATTTTCAACTCTGATAATGATAAAACCAAAATTTAAAGTTGTATACCTGTTGATAAGGTAGAAGAAATATTTGCAAGCGTCATCGATAGCATCGACATTTGCATATAGATGACCGGATCGTTTAGTAGCAACGTACTTTCCATTGTTTGCACGGAAGCAAACCGAACCATCCCCTTGCCATGCCAACTCGAACAAAGCGTTCGACGATCTATTTTAGCGGACAAAATCGTTTTCAAAAATTAGTTAAATAAACAGGCTTATGATTTCACATTTTCAGGTAAGCTTATAATACGAAAACGATGTGTTTACTTTTTATCGGCCACGGCTTGTATTCCACCACCTGTTTCGAGAGTCCAGTATTTATCCTGCATTGTGCGTATATACCATCTTTTCGTAGAAGGATCGAATTCCAATTGGAAAGTCTCGTGATCGGATATTTCGTCTTGGTTAGCAGTGACATCCACCCCTGCAAATCGGATTATGTGTATGAATAATTTATACAGATATTATGTAAAACAAAAAAAAAGTCATTCAGAGAAATCACTGAAAAATATTCAATAATATTCTATTGAAATGCGTTAACACAATTTTTTTATTTGTTTGAAATGTATTCCTGAATAAACAGCTACAGTTGCATGTCTTGAAAAATACAACATTATCGTAATTTTATTCTAAGTCGTAACTAAATTTCAAAACTTAAAATATGAAAACAAAAAATAAGTCAAAAAATTGAAAATATTGTATACTTAGGTATATCTACGAACAAACAAATTATAATAAAAAATATAAAAAATTTAATACTCAAAGGTACCTATATATAGTCTTTCAGTACAGATGCATAACCAGGATTTTTAAATATAAAAATTTTAATTATATATTAAATGTGTTACACATTCATTATGGAATCACGAAAACAAATTAATAAATCTTATACACGTATAACTTTCAAAAATTATATGAAATAGAATCATCTAACTACACATTTTGTTCTTTTATAAAGGAACTCGAAGAATTTAACATACATCATTGATTGTTTTATTTAAATACGGAAAGGATAAGAGTGTTCTTACGCCCAAGACAATGCCCCTAAGACTACCCACCTGTTACAACAGAATGATAAACAATGGACCAGGACTAATTTCCTCCCCACGTACAACACACATAAGTAATAAATTCCGCCTTATATACATACTTTGGTAAATTGTATGTGAAGTGGATCTTTACTTAAATTTACTTAGTTTTCATACGAGAAAATATTCTCGTGGCCAAATCTATGTTTACACATAACTATTCCAAATTAGTAGGCGTTCCAAATCTTAAAAGCTTTTGTTACTAATTGTTGTTATAAAACGGAGCCACCGCCTATGTTCTAGACAGTGTTCCGGATTATCTTATGATTATTATTTCGTTTATTTCTGATCCTCGTCCGCAATACACGAAAAAATATAATTTTTGATCCATGGCAGTGCACCTACGATAAATGTATTTACGCATTCCAACGAGAAGTCTACTACAAGAAATTACAAGTTGTAATTATTGTAATGACCAACGTTCAACGGTATATACCCACTTACTATAGCTGTACTACCGCAGATTACATTTAATGTGCGATACAATTTAAAACGTAATCCGTGCCCACTTTTACAATAATTTACCCACTACGGTAGTTCCGGAACACAACGTAACTCGAATAGTTCTAAGCGAAGCGAAGAGGCCATAAATATTGTTGCGTTACACACGTATGAAATTTTTTTTTTTTAGGTTTTCGCGCTTATCACGGTGCCCGGGTTGTATTAATTATTCCGTCTATTAATGTTAACTCATACAACCAAACCGATTATAACGATAATTAAATTAATTTTACCACGGACTATTTATTTGAAATGTATCTCTAAAGACTTAATTGTTACGCGGATAAGGAACGTGGAGCAAAATACAGAATTTTCTATTCTTAAAACAACATCAACTATTTCAACGTGTTCAGTAGACTGTGGTTTAACTATAATTAGCTTCATTAACAATAGCGAAGAACTAAAGAGAATTTTGTAAGTTTTTTTCACGCTTAACCAACTCAACACAAACTCTGCGTGTTGCATACCTAGCTTAAATGCTATAGACAAATACAATAGTATTTACGTAAAAATTCTTTGATTTTTTTCCGAAAATATTTGTAAACAATATTCTATAGGTGATGATAATATAGGTAACTATTTAAGTATACTTAAGATGTAATGTCGATGTAAATAAATAAAATAATGTAAATAATGAAAATAAAATTAAAATAAAAATTCATTTTAATAAATTATTCTTAATTTATTAAATAATATACAATTTAATTAAATTAAATTCTTATTTTTTAAACATTATACCAATATTGTAATGTATACAAATTGGTTTACTCTTATAACAATGTACATAGTATAATTTTTATATAGGCAATTTATAGTATGTATGCAACCAGTGGCGTACATTCAATCTTGCTCTGGGGAGGGAGTTTAACAAAAATAATCGTCGTTATCTTTTTTTTTTCATTGCACAGATAAATAACTGCTATAAATAGATATTATTTTATAAACTTTTTTAACAATTTACAGTTTACTTTTACGTTACAGTAAATTAGTAACTATAGGAATATAAAAAAGGATAGTTGACAAAACTTTTCAAACACCTAGCAATTATTTAATTATTATAGTATTTGTATAGTTGTATATTTTACGTTTAAAGCGTAACAATGAAACTACGAATATATTACACGTCATCAATAATATCACAATTTTCTTCTTTTTTTTTTTTTGGCCCAGGGGGTTTGAACCCCCCCCCCCACCACCGTACGTACACCACTGTATGCAACGTTTGTCTGTTTAAATGATTTTCAATGTTTCAACCTATACAATAGTATAAACTCTATATAACTTCCACTAATTTAAAAAATTATAAAAAAAAATATACTATAATTACCTAAAGAATTTTAAGTACTTAAATACGGTAAAACATTTGAATATTTTAAAACATTATTTACATTATTTATACGATGTTCTGAGTAGAGTACGATAGACGGCTATTATATGAGTAATGTGAACGTTGTTAAACAAAGTATAAATATAATTTATAAAATGTCTATTTTGTTAATTATACTAGTAATTTATAAATTATCTAAGGTTGAGGTATAGTTTGATAAAATGTACGATACATTTATGACAACAATCATTTTTGACTGAACAATAACTGCAGTGATAACTCGTCAATGATATTTAATACAAAAAGACTTCGGTACAACGATCCATCGGTATTGCGTTTTAATATTAAATAATCATTTTAGTTTAGTCCAAGTCACACGTCGTCCATATTAATTTTAAAATGACGGCACACGAACAATTGTGCGGCTGTTATTATAAATATTATTATTATTATTAATTAATCTATGACATGAATAATAATTCAGTACATTTAATGTCTGATGAGAATAACAACATAGTTCAAGAAATTAAATATTGAAAATCAAATAAAAATTCCAGTCTTCAACTTCAAAACTTTTAAAGAAATCAATTTACAATAATATTACGTTCATGGCGATTTATTTTAACTACCTTCTTTGCGTGAAATTGCTGTACTCGAACAATCTCAATTTGATATTACAGCTTTTACAAAATGTCTGTATTAAAGTAAATGCTTGTCAAATATGTGTAAATATAAAACCGAAAAAATACTTTGAAACTCTGAACGTCTCCTGAACTCAAACTGTATTAATAGATAGTTAAATTTCATTTTTATATATTAATTAAATAATGAAATTGTTCAAATAATAATATTATACCCTCACAGCACTAACTAACGTATATATTTGCTGGATCATAAATGTACATTACATATATACATTATACTGATTACATGCGGATAAGGTTTACATTACTTATTTTTGGACATTACCCGTAACACGTATACTATTTACTATACCTATGACATATACTCTTTCAGAATATGTTATCAACCAAAAATACCTAATGCCTTTTATATAAAATTGTTATACTGTGTAATATGTTTTACGAAGTTGAAAAAATGTTTTAAATGCATTTTCTCTGCCTATTTAGTACTTAGTATTTTGGACTAATTATAGTCGATTATAAATGTTTAGGTTAAAAACTAATGATTTATTATATCATGAACATCGTAATATTCATTATTCATATGAAACGCACTTATTTTATATTAATATCTAGTAAAAAAACAGATATTTTTTAATTAAACACTGTATATTTTAAGAAATTATTACAACGGAAAGTTAATTTCTGAAGCGATGCAAATGTAATTTAATCATGTATTTTAAGCATTAAAACAATATTTTTAACTGTCATAAATGTATGCAAATCTAACACGCATTATTATTAAAGTATTTTATTTAAAAACAAACTTCTAGATGGGTCTATTAATTTAAGAAAACGGCATATATTATTAATTTTAATCATTACCTATCTAATTAATTATGTTTATAGAAAAGATAATGGTATTTTACTGCAATTATAGTCATACCATTTTTACGACTACGATTTTATTTAGTTTTCGGATTAACTAAATAAACTAATTATGATTACTTACCTAAATAAAAGTTATTAATTAAATGAAAACTATTATATACTTCAAATAAAAGACTTCGGGTCATATGTCTTTTATGTAATTACACATGAAAAATCTTATACTACATATTCTTACATATTTCTATCTTTAAACATAATTTTACCGCTTAATTTCTTCCAATATTATTTTTTAAACACATTTTTCTTATTATTAACTTTGAGGTTATTATTAGTTTTAGAGGTGATTTTTTTATTGTAGATTTTAAAAATATACAGTTTGACAATAATTATATAATTATTATACCTAATAAAACGGTAAAATTTTAGTACAAATGATTCCCGGTAAGTATTTAATTATTTGAATTCTGTAATACCTATAAATTAAACGTGTAGATTGGTGAGTATCATGTTAAGCCTTAAAAAAAAATTGAAATCCGAATCCTAATTATGTAATTATATATTCTGTATAATATATAGAAGGAATAAATAATGCCACACAAGCTAAATTTAATAAAATATACATTTATAGACTATATTCTGTCATAAGAATTAAAATCAAATCAATATTTAAAATATTTTATAGCCAGTATTATAGTATTGACTTAATTATAATACAAATTTTAAATAATTCTATTCATCAAAAATTACATATATAAATAAATGTTGTTAAAAAATGCAAAATGGAATTGAAATAATGTGCATTTACTTTTCCAATTCCGGATATAACTACCGCAGCTGTTGTTAGCTTGCTATTTGCGTACACCTTTCAAATAAAATAAGGGTGTATCCACCATACGAGTACTACACTAAGACAGTAGTATAAACTGTAAACCTATATCGTGTTTACACAGCAGTTATCGTGTACATTACATCCATTAAAAGTATAGAAATCGTCAAATCGATGTATTACAAGCACGAGAATATTTATATATTTTCATTCATTTGATGTTTATGTATTGATACAACTTGTTTTTTGTTATTACCAATTTGGAATGAGTCGGAAACTGTAATTATGATTTATTAATATGCAACTAGTTTTTTCTTTGCTAGATAATTTACACGTCACAAAAAAAGCTCTCTCGCTTAGGATAATATAATAAATATATTTAAATAAAAACGAAATGCTATAAAACTACTGAGGTAAGATGATTCATAAAAGTTTAATTGTGCAACGAATAATAATATAAATGTAATAAAATGGCTTATTAAAAATAATTAAATTTTTATAAACAAGGTGAATAATTGCGTCTCGCTTATTATTTATAACGAATTTACGAACTCTAAACCTGCTGTTACGATAATGTTCTTCGATAAACTCGTAATAAATGAAACAATATAATACATTTATATTGGAACAATAAAAGAAACATTTTGTGAACTAGAAATGTGTGTGCTCGACTTCTCAAAGAATATCGTGTTAACGAGTCTCGTATTTGAGTTATGGTAATTTTTTTTAAATACCAAGTGTAAATACTAATCACACGTCCGTATTACGTGGCAGAGCACTTTAAATACGACCAAGATGTTCAAAGATTTACACGTGGTCAACATAAATTCAATACACAACTATACAAGAATGTGTTTTGAAGAGCTACGAAAATGCGTCTCCTTCAGACCGTGACAAATTAAAACAACAATTATAAAGGAGAAAAACCAGGTTTATTCACCTGTGTTATAATTGGTTTTAATCCTCCAGCTATACGATGTTTAACAAGACAAGTAGACAGTTGGACAGCGAACAACAATTATTAATTAGAATACACTACTGTGTTTTATCCACTATAAAAATTGAACAGTTCTTATTCACGCTTAGTTCTAGTAAATTTCATTTACAGCCGAGTGGACATTTTTATTATTATCGGTTTTGATGATTTTGGAAGGAAAAAACAATCAAAACGAATGTGACGCATTGTTGATTCTTACCGCGACCTGCATTAAAATGTGTTTAATTATTCTATCCATGTAGGTTAAGCGTTACACCAGTACATTATACAAATTTCCTTTGAAGCACAACGAATCTATCAAAAATAATTATTAAAAATAAAAACAGTTGTAGCAACATAAATTTATTAAAGTATGATTCACCTGCAAGGGTGCTTAAACAAAATTTGTACGTGTATTAGCACTCTATAGATTTTTAAATTGTATGAAAATATATTATTAATATTATTATTTATAAGCTGCATAGAATTTTTAGTCGATAGGTTTTCATAAATAATGTATGAGTAGACATCCCTGGTACAACTAGATACTTATAAGTCTTATAAGTCAAATATAAAATGAAGCTTCCTAACTAAAAATTTAAATGGTCCTAAAAACCAAAAGTACCCAACTTCCGTCCCTCCCATAAGGTAATTAAAACCATAGAATCGTTAATAATTTCATAAAATTAAAAATAATTCTATAAACTAATTTTTTTTAATTATTTTAATATTATAAGTTAAACCCATATTATATCTATAGCTCTTTGTAAAAAATCATCTACAAAATGCTTAACTTAAGCTTAATTACTATTAATAGTAACCGTTAAGGTGCTATTACGAATTTCTATAAATAGGAAGAAAATTGGATTTCTAAAACCCTATTCTTGTCTCCCATTTATTATTTAGTCATAGTAATGATTTTATAACATTATTAAATCAGTAATTCATAGTATAATATACTCCATAGGATATTAAAAATAATAACTATATAAAACTATATAACTATTTAATATATATAATTATTACATTTTAAGTTATAAATGAATGTTTACAATAAAATATAGAAAAAATTTTTTTATTATTTATCTACCAAGGAGTCCTTTACATTATTAGAGGGCTCCCAATAAATCAGGGGCCCCAAAGTTTCACTTTACCAACTTACCCGCTAGTTGCGCCGCTGGTAGAAAATTACATATTATAGGGCATATATAATTATATATCTATAATAATTTCTAGATAAAATAAATAAGTGAAAACCCGAAGAAAATCAAACTTTAAAATTGTTAAAAAAATACCCTTCGAGTTCAATGCAAAATATAATTTAAAACATTAATTATGCCTAATAGCACATTTATAATAAATAAAATTGAATAAAATATCTATAAATAGTAAGCATCACAAAATTTACCTTTGATATAACTTATTTTGAATAAATATATGTAGAAGATGTCCAGATAATTTGTCAGAAGATATCTTAAAAAAAAAAAAGCAACAGGAAAGCAAACAGGTTTTGGATGTTACGGATTGAATTCCAAACAAATTATAAGGTATTGAATTTAGGACACTAACGTTATGCACAATATGCACATTACTGCTCATGGATTTTGAACAAAACACGTTTTCAAAATACTTAAAATAATTTTTATGTAACAGTATTGTAAAAATAGCTTGATCTTCGACTGTTATTCTGATTTTGTAAAATGCATTGTAGTTGTCATTACACGTACACATGGGTGCATTGATATACACTCGGTTAGATTATCAAATAGTAGCAAGTATAGATAATTTAAGCTAAACACATGATTTACTTCGGCATATATTTATTGAAAAAATTAACTTAGTTTTTTTTTAATTTGCGGTAACATTAAAATATTTTTATTCAAGTTACTTTCATATTACAATACTTCAACGCGTTACTCATTGTACATATATTGTTTTTATAAGTATCTAGTAGGTTATATCTAACGATTTACAGGCTAAACATAATAGCATAATGGGAACAGTGAAACGATTCTTTAGAAACAACAATGTCGAAACAAAAAAATAATGACAGGATAACTGTTTAGTAAATATATATCTAAAGTATATATCAATGAATAACTGCATATTGTCATTTTACTATTAATAATTCCCAAAACTAAGATGATCTAACAGTTTCTAAAAGTCGTTTACGGTAAGTATATATCAAATTCATTTATATATTTAAAGAATAAAAATTTTATGATTTAATTTTTTATCTTTAAAGTCGAATCTTAAAGACGACTTGGTAATAATGTGATCCATCAGATTTGTACTGGATAAATAAGAGCTAATTGTTAGACACGAAAAATGAAAAAACTTTCACATCCTAGTTTTCATCAAAGTGTCGTTAAGATTTAAATTATTTTATCACAGAAATCGATTATTACTGACCTTGTTTGACTGATACGTATTTTGAATTGAGAGCAGCAATAAAACTTGCTTGTGGCAAAGAGTCTTCAAGGGTGAACAACTCGTCTTTGGTAACCGATTGAGAACGCGTCTTAAGAAGTGCTTTGGAACCAATTGGAGATAAATAACCACCAGCTTTGTCCCTCAAAGCTAATGATCCACCAGAATGGTATTCTAGGGAGAACAAACAGTTAGTCGTGCACGTGTCTACTAATTTCCCATCCCTGGATAGATATTTGTTGTTGCACGTGTGTATGGCATATTTGAAATCGTCATCAGGTCTCAGTTCTAATGTGAAAAGCGTATCTTCGCCCCACGGTATATTTGCGTCGACATGGATTTCATCCAAGTTTTCGGACAAATGAGCAAAACGTTTTCGTCCAACAGATCTCAGATTCACCTATACAAATAGTTGTACACATTTTATAAAAGAAATATTGTTGTAATGCGAAAAAATGTACACATATCAACATGATAAAATATGATCAGAATTCGTGTTGACTTACTTGAGGTCTAGCGGCTAAATGAACCAACCATAGTTCACTGGACCCCGCTGCTTTTGCTGTACATTTCAGATTGTCCGAAGAAGCGCCCAAGTAGTAACCACGAACTACGTTTTTCAATGCCCAGCTACCAGAGGTTCCGTCAGTTACGGAAACTTGGAACACGGTCCCGGGATCAGTAGGATCATCGCTCTCGCAAGTCACATTTCCGAAAGAGTCTACTGCCAAGTACTTGTCCAAATGCGACCGCAATCTGATCGTTGTAGTGGGACCATCGCTTAACAGTGAATTATTAGTGCTCGGCTCCAATGTCCACAGTTGTTTCTTTTTCAAAGATGCACCATTAGCATTGATCTTGAACCCAAATGTCTCAGCTGTCAGATAACGTTTAGAGTTGACGTTGACCAAACCAATAGTCCAGCAACTGCAAGGTGAAACCGAAAACTTGTTACCTCCCTCATTGTTGTCATGGTTGTTAAATCCGTTCATGATTACAATTCACTCTGAAAAATCCATATTTTTTTGATGATATTGTATTTTTATAAATAACAATATAAAATATACATATTGATACACGCGTATTAAATACGTACGCAATAGCACAAAAAGTTTAAATCATCCGAGAAAATATTGAAGTCTACCATAGTATTAATAAAATATAAGACATAAAAGGTTGTATGGACCCATGCTTCCTTCACAAACGCATTAATTGAGATTCAAACCAAGTTTATTAACTATTTAAATAGAAGTAGATATTTTTATTTTAATAAAAATTTTATGCAAACGGATTTTTAATAACTTTTTAAGTTAATATCATTAGTTATGCCATAACTAGCATTTATTATTTATTATAGAGATATGGATGAATGCATGAATACGATAATTTTAAGGTCTACCATGAAACTAAAACTATTGACCACGTATAATCAATAATCATTAAATCATTACTCATATAACCTACCATAAATGCATGTGTCATATTTTTAATGTTTATTTTATCATAAAATGTATACATTTTTGTTTGTTTTTTTTAAATAATAATTGTATTCAGTCATTTAATTTTTAATTCATATAAAAAAGAATAATAATAAAAAATTGACGACTGAATTTTGCAAAGTGCTCATTCCAAGACTTTTAATATGCATCAATGAACGTTTTCCGAATATAAATAATACATTTTTATTTTATTTAATGTAAAGTAGATTAATACTTCAAATTGGTTTTTCATTATTTTTTTTTGTTACTAAATGAATATTTATTATTATTAAATATATTATATATTTTGTCTTCATGTGTTTTCCTTTATAGTATCAAACTGAAAAATCAAATTGATTGTGTTTAACCTTGCGCAAAACAATGACATAAACCGTAACACTTTTAACAAGCACATCATTTCCATTACTTTCTGTCACCTATAATAAAGCCTTCATGCAGCCAGTGATCTATTCAATGCATGTTTAGGTATAGGTATTCTTTTATTATGGATAACGAGTACACCATAATAGTGTACCAACAGGCGACCATTATGAATTATTAATCACTATTGAACTGAACACAAATAATATAAGTGCATCTAGTAAGATAATGGATTGAATAAATATAGTTTGTAATTAAAATTTTCATCGACAATATATTATAGGTACTATAGTACCTATAAGGTAAGTAAGTACCTCTAACGAAAAATATAACTTGTTATGTAACCATACGACTGTTGACAATTTAGTTTTTCGGTAACATTTATATAAAGATTATCGATGTTAATTGTAGATTAATTTTAAAATACTATCATACTAATTATTCCTAAATCGGCTAAACGTATACGTAATGTATGATTTATTAAATGTGGTACTATTCAACTGTATTCCCGGTAAGAAAACAAATATAATATTTAAAAAAAAAATTTTAACATTCAAAGTTCAACACTATAAAATTCCAACGCGTTACAATTGAAACGTATACCTTGCTAATTAATAAAAAATTAATCCATAAATATAATAAAGGTATATATAAAATTAATTAGAATGATATTTGGAGAAATGTACATTATCAACCATCAAAGGTCATAGTTTTATACTTTTATGAAGTAATATAACATAATTAAAGTATAAAAAGTACGATAATAAAACAATATGATTAGTTGGGAAGTCCGAACCTGTAAGTCGATTTTAATAAACTATTAACCTTTGGGATTTGATAAATGTTACATATATATATGTATATATATAATATGTTATTTTTAAAGAATATTGTATATAGGAACGGTACGCGTACACAATAATATTAAATAGCTATATTTATAAGCAAAATAAAATCGATTGTAAAGTTCACATGATAAAAAAAAGAATAATAAAAAAATCATAAAACTTGCGAATCGCATTGTTTACACCACAAATAATAATAAAATATGCTACCTTGGTATTATACGTTCTAGTATTAATATGATACTCATTACGAGATATCGAATTTGACATTTATAATAGGTAACCTATGTGCACCGCATAGTAGTTACTCCTGTGACCAATGGCATGATTGGAGGGTGGCCATTTACTCTCAAAAACATGTAATAATCCCAAAGTCTGGCATTATTATAGTTATAAAATATTAGATTTAAAAAATAAAGATATAAAACCACCTTTAAATTATTTAAATTAATCGATTCAGTTTTGCTATCGCAGTTCAACGACATTTAAATAAATATAACTACAATAGTATATGTAAGTTATATACATTCAAAGACTAGAGGTCTTAAGTCAAATTCGAACTTCGTTGATAGCTCTATATGATAATCGAGTCTAAATGTACACTATATACTTGAACTGCACTTTATTACTCCACTGTTCATGTACAAGTATACTGAATTATATGTGCTTATAATAATCGTAAAAACAACATATGGTTTTTCGGAAGCGTAAGGGGAGATATTTTATGTGTGCACTCGTACAGGGAAATGTAAGCATTAGGTACTGTTATATTTATCCAATGGACTCGGTGCGCAGTAAGACGTTCGTTAATACCATTTTTCCATTAAAAGTGGTCGGAGTGTTTGACAACACTACTCCGCTACATTCCGTATCGATCGAAATTTAAAACGTACGTAACACCGGAATTGTTGACCGATTCGCAGTGGCGTGTACTCACAATGAGGGGCCGACAGAAGGGTCGATCGATCGAACACCCCTCGAAACGATTGGACAATAATGTGTTCTCGGATGACAGTTATTGCTCATAGCGCAAAAATACTGTCGTACAAATCGCGTAGGTACATATTAATACGTAACACACGACAAAACATTAGGAAGTTGAACGTTTTACGATGCACGGACGAGAAAATTATTGTCCGGAGGGGTGGAAACGTCTAAACATAATAGGACGTGATCACGACGGAGTATTATTACACTTCGGACGGGTCCACGGTTTTTAGGGTCGCAGCAGCTGACATGCCGCCCACGCGCGCACCCCGATAGGTAGAGTAATTTTTGTTTTTTTTTCTCCTCCCGTAGAGCCGCGGTGCGTGCGCGCAAGGCCGACGACGTGTTTTCGGCGTAATACCATATTTTACCGTAGCAGTGTGCAATGGTATCATAAACCGCCGGTGTGACGAGAGCGCGCGCGTTGCCGCGTCGGAAATCGATTTTCACGGGAGCACGCGGCTGCTACGGGGTGCGCGAAAGCCGGCTAGGGACCGGAAAAACGCCGACACGAACCCCTCGGTCTCGCCCCGGACCCGCCCGGGGACACCGGGCGATCTAATTTTCAATGCGCACCAGCACTCCGCCGTTTACGGAAGGTGGAGTTTTTGAAAAACCCTAACCGCGGTCGCACACGTCGCGGACGCGTTTCCATGCGGGACGGTGCCGACAACGATAGTGCGCGTCGAAATGATGGTTCAGACGTTAGCGCACACGTCCGTGAACACCGTGCCGGGGAACGACGACGTGCGTGCCGGTTAAGCGACGGCATAACGGTACACGCGGGAGCTCGGCCGAGCGGGCGGTCGCGACGTCTCTCGCGGTGTACGTACACCGGAGACCCCGTCGGTGGGACGGGGAAAAAAACAGTAAACAGTAGACCGGGAAAACAAACAGAAGGGGTGTGCGTTGCGCACAAACACGTATACGTACCCGGTGGTGGAGCTGCGACGGACACGGTGCGTGGAACAACGGCGGCGAATGTTGCGGGGTACGCGCCGGACACGGCACGCGAACTGACGGACGGACACGGACGGACTGACTGCGTCGGCGGCGGTGACGGTGAAGCGGACGGAGTGAGACACGGGAGCGCGCGCGCGTAGTGCAACAGCGGAACTGAACGGCCGCCCGGACGATTTTGTTTTATTTATTACGAACCGTAACGGCGGAGAGAAGCGAGGGGAGGTATCGCCCCGCCGCCGACACCTATCGCACAGGATTCCGCGACGCACCGCGTGTGTATGCGTTGGTTCGTGCGCGCGCCCGTGTGTGTGTGTGTGTGTGTGTGTGTGTGTGTGTGTGTGTGTGTGTACACCGAGTAGTGCACTGTCGCTGAACCGTGTACCCGGAGTACACTACCGCCGCTGCCAGATACCACTACCACTACTACGGCTGCTACCGCCACCGGTGCCGTCGCGGTCGGTAGGTGGTGCGGACGTGACGGCGGTGGTGCGGATGTGCGCGCAGAAGACGTGTTCTACCGCTGCGGTTCTGTACGAGCTACGTGCACCGGCCACCGGTACTAACCGCCACCGCTTCCTGCGCTGGTGCCCATCGGCACTGCGATTCGCGAGTGTCCGCCGTCTCGCCGCGGTTTCCGCACCGTTGCGATCTGGCCGTGCGCACTGCCGGTCCCCAGTGCGCCACGCGTGCGTGTTCTCGCGTGCACATCGCGATGTAGCGGTACTGACTCCGCGCGCGCGGTTGACCCGTGTCGTCGTCGGGTTCTCGTATATAAGTGCTACTGCGTCCGCGGAACGACGACGATGTTTCGCGTATCGCTACGTCGGCGTTGTCGTGTACCGTTCGCGTGACGATACGTTTCGCTCGCCGCGCGCATACCTCTCCGTTATGCCCATGTCTATTGTATCAGCGCCGTCACTGTTCGCCCCTGCACTCGCATGCAGGCCCGCCGAGAAGAGGAGGGGGGGAAGAAAAGGGTGATCCTCCCGGACCTCTCCGGGCCCGGAAATTAGGGAGACAACGAATTATTAAAAATTCAATTCGATTAATGATAAGAATAAAAACTACGGAAAAAATTAGGATATACCTCCCGGGCCCGGGTTTCTCTCTCCACGGTCCTGCTTGCGTATGATTATCGCGCACTACTGGTGCACGTCGTGATACGACGTCCGTACGGTTCGGATACAATAGTAAATAGCGCCTCTGTTTTCCAGCCCTAGCCCTGGTGCTGTGACGTACGTGCTCGTCGTGACTACCTACGTTAATCGAGTAAGATCCTTACCGCGAGCAACCGATGTGATTCGTCGAGCAATGGATCCTAATTTATCCTAGGGTGTGAATGACCCCTTTTTGCTGACCCCAGCTTACGCCTGTTTGTGATCTTATACAGAAGGCCAAACTAGTTGGAATTATGGAAAAAGTGAAACATTGAATAATACCTCTTAACGAAAAAGTAATTGGTCACTACGCTCGCAATAATTACTCCCATAAATTACGTAATATAAATGTATTGATGTTTGCTTATTGTTATTTCTGAAAATTTACCATTGAGTAATTATACATTTCTCACCCACCTACAAAATTTAGGAAGGCAATTTTTCATCAGTTTCCCTATTTATGCATCACTGATCTTATGTACTATATAAAAATTTGTATAACTGATCAAGTTCTCAACAAAACAGTTAAATACGTTTCACTCCAAAGGCATTAATCCAAATGTCGTTTGGTGTATGCATCTAAGATGTAATTTCTAGTAAACTATTAACGACGATACAAAAAAAATAACATACCTACGTACACTTCAATGTATAAAATACCGTTAATTTTTTTAATTGTAGATAAAATAACCTAGATAGATATAGACAGATGACAAAGAAAAACTGTGTAAAATATTAATCATTAAAAATACAAATTAATTGGTGATTAGGTAAGAATTGCATGTCATTACTAGTAAAAAAAAAAAAAATACAAGACCGTCAGCAACATATATTTTAACAATAAGTACTTAATCTACGAAGTATTCAAATGTATTTCGGTGATTAAGCCATTAAAAAAAAAAAAAATGAATTATTCTAGTGTAAAATGTATACATATTAATAGTCGAATATGATTAGATCTTGTAGAAGATCTACATCATTTATAAAAATGACACCCTAATTAATGGATAATTTTTACAACAGTCGTAAGCAGTGGCGGCTCGTTAGGTTCACATAAAGTGGTACACAAATAATTTATAAGATACCTATGTAAATGAGTAAAAAAAAAATAATAATTTTATTATTGGTACATACAACGTACTTATCAACATATAATTTTCTCAAGTTATCTAAGCTCTTAGTCATGGTAAGATGAAAATAAATTGAAAAAAAATAACTTATCAAGTATGAGACAAAATAAACACAAAATCTTGTTTCTATGATCGACGCGATACGCGGTTCGGTGCACACATCGATTGTGCTCCAAACGACCATGTATACTAACCGACATGTTTAGGCCTGTATTTAAAAATTTGGCGCCCCCAGGCATATAATTTATAACCCCCCCCCTCCCAAAAAATTAAATAATAATAATACATCACATATTATTTCGACCATAATATATATATATATACTTATAAATGAAAATCGTTTAATACCTTTTTTAATTAACAAATTAAACAAATTATAACATAATAAGACAAACAATTTCCTTTTTTTTAATTAACAAATTATAATAAAATAAAAATATAATTTTTTTTTTTAATTTACAAATTATAACATAGTAAAACATATTTTCTCTTTTTTATTGTTTTATTTTTTTTTCATTAGGTACATCATTTTTAAAATTAATTTTGCTAAAATATTTTGCCGCCCGTGAAACTTAACGCCCCGAGAATGTGCCTACCCGTGCCCCCCCACCATAAATACGGACTTGCATGTAGCTAACTTTTGTACGGCCGCCTGGAACGTGTGCTCCGTTAATTATTTAATCACCAATGGACACACTTCTCAATGCGAAAAGCTGCAAAATCTTTTCTTTTTTTATTATATAAATTTTTGTTAAGACTGTATGCATATCAACCAATTATAATTTACTATTGGAATCTAATAATTTTTTATATAATATTTTTGAATGGTTTACGTGCACCATAACACAAGCTACCACTGGTTTCAGATTTATATAGCCTATAATAATTACAGTGAAGTATCATTCAATTTTATTTTCAGCAATTTCAGCAATCCCAATATTTTGTCTCTAGTTGTCATAGGTGTAAACTGGGGGGGGGGCAGCAATTGCCCCCTAGAATGAATTAGGAGGGACAGTACCCCTCTGATATTTAATATACCTTGTTTTAAAATAAGTACAAAACAGCTAGTTATAACTATTACTATAGCATTTTTTTTTAAAACCTTAATTTTAAATTTTCACTTAACATAATGTTAGAAAATGAATAATTTTATATAATAATATTTAGGTAGTAAAGCGGCGTTTAGCCTCGGACACCCTTTTCGTTAGATATATAATTATATTATTTCCCCCCCCCTCCCTAATAAATTTCCAAGTTACGCCTATGCTAGTTACGACCATAGTTGTAAGTAGTATTTTACTCTTTTTTCAATAACAAGATTTCACAATACATAAAATATAAAACAATGATTTATTATTAAAAATCACATTAAACTGGGTAATACGAAATTATAGATACATCATATATCTATATTCGAAATTGTTCTAAATTTAAAAACTGGATTATTTTGTATTGATGTTAATTTACGTATTCCACTAAGTAGAAACTTATGAATAATAATTTTTCAATCGTGCACTAATATTAATTGTTTTTTTCACTGTGTATTATACGATGACAACATTTGAAGACAAAACGTATAATATTTTGAAGATAAAAATATCATACTTAGATTATAAATGTTTGTGAAAAATTTTTTGTTTTATTTAATATACTATTATCAAAAAATTCATGGTAGTATTTAATAAAAATAGACTTTAACTGAATACTATCTAGCCATATAGATACTTGGTTTTTCATAACGTTTTAGTAAATAGTAAAAGAGTAGTAAACAAATTATAAGGAGTAACACACGTAAAATTAATGATTTTTTTTTTTTTTGCTACTCGTGACATTTAGTACTTCTAATTTAATGTACATAACCTATTTAATATAGTCTATAGAAAATTGAACTACATTAAAACTCGTTTTTAGGTGAATATCATTGCTTTCTAGTTGTAAAACGCCCGCTTCAATAATCGAAATTCTATATCACCTATATATTTTAAAGTTAATCTTCAAATGGTTGTATTCTTACACAATGATAATAAGTAATAATTAGTAGTGTACAACGGTGTCATTATGGAAAATTTCATGATGGGTATCTTTTTTTCAATGTGTATGTAAATCAAGCACTATTACATCGGAAATGTGAAATATACATAGTAATAAGAAAAATATCTAACTTTTGTGGAAAAACTGTTATTCAAAATATGTGATTGTTACAGGTAATTCACAAAACACCAGAAATAAATAAATTCCTCACTACGATCAGAATCTAAGTTATTTATTTTTTTTTTTTTTTTTTTTTGTATAGTATATTCATTCAAATTAAGTAAGAAGTAAAAATAATTTGATTTCGCTCCCTAGATAATAATGTCTTCAAACAAATATTTATCATCGCATTTATAATTTACATTTGGTTAAAATATTATAACTTATTATTTATAATCGATATTCGATTACCGATAATTAACCAATTATAAAATAAAACAACAAATAATATCTTCAATATTTTTGAGAGCTTAAAAATATTTTGTTACACTGATTCTGAATGAGCACAACTGTATTAATAGAAATTGGTAGAATCTTATAACTAAAGCTCCGATGTTTATAAAATTGCATTTTTTTTTTTTTATTGGTCCAGTTTAATGCGGAACTGAATACAAATTTGATTCATGTTCTACTGAATCAAATAATACTATCTTAATTTTTGCATATTTTTACATATTTTACAAATTTATATTTTAAAATGCATATTTTTGGAGTTTTAAGAATATACATAGGTACATATTTCAGAACATTTTTGATATTTTTTAAATTAACGGGCAAATAAATGACAAATTATTGACCAGTATAATTATGTTTGTTTCATATATTTTGATCAAAATAAAAAAAAATATTGATATAATGTAATTTTTATATTTTAAATTGGTATTAAATATAAAAATA